CCCCCCCACCCCGGCGGCACCAGCATCCGCAGGCAGCTGGCAGCTGGACAGGCAGGGAGCCGGCAGCGTTTGCTGCTTCCCGTGGTTCTCGTTGCTCTCCTGGACAGGATTACCGGCTCCTTCTGTCCGTCTGTCCTCCCGAGTGCAGGACCTGGCAGGGTAGTGGTCACACACATGCACACGCACACACACACACACGTGTGCCAACCTGGAGAGCTCTCTGCAGCAGGAGGTGGTGGCAGTCGGGGTGTATATGGCACCATGCACATGCAGACCTGCTGCATGCACCAGCACACACATGCATGCACGTGTGTGCACATGCACATACTCACACATGTGTGCAACTGCATACACACATGTGCAAACACACATAGTTACATATATCCGTGCACACACATGCATGGATATATACTTCCACGCACACATGGCCACACACGTATGGATGCACGTACACGTGTACAGATGCACGTCTGTGCCAACGCACACATGCAGATCCATGCACACACCTTCATGCACACACACATGGCACACGTGCATTGTCCCCCGCCCCACACCGAGCCATCTTCAAAGCCTGCTGCTCCTTCCCTGCCCATGTCCCCAAGTGCTCTGGACACCACCTCAGCAGCACAGGCCACCAGCACCCCACGCGTGGCCGTGGCCCCCAAAAACACTCAAGAGCAGCTCGACAGGGCCCCGGCCCCAGGCTCTCACCCCCCAGCCCTATGCTTAAAATTTAAAATGGATAAGATAGACATTACCAAAAAAAAAGAAGCAAAATGGAAACAGAATCTATTAATAATGGTGTCAAATGCTACCCAGAGAATATTTAGAATTTATTTTTAATGAAAGATTTATTAATTTGAATGATAAATATTTTACCCTTTAAAAAGCAATTTCATTTATTTTGACAGTATATACAAAACTGAAATGAGTCTATGTAACTTAGGACAGTGAATATTCACTTAGACAAAAATGTCCTAGCCTCATTTCCTAATGGTATAGAGGCTCAGGACAATGTACGGAAGTGTTTGTGCAATTATTTGTCAAATTTGCGTATTCGTTTAGAATGTTGTAACTGCACTTATAAATGGTTAGGCAGGTATTGAACTGCCTTCACATATCAGATATTCTCATGAAACTGTGATAGCGATGTTGTGCACACAGTTGTAAATTACCTTCTTCCCCTTGCGGATCTGCACAGTAAGCTTTCAGCCTCACTGGAGTTCGGTTTGTATGCTGAATCATAATTAAAGTTGGTTTTAAAGGTGAATGTAGGCTTTATTATATATATTTCATTATAAGATAACCCGCCGTGTGATTTACGGGCTCTGCGCAGGCAGACAAATGGCGAAGGAAAACAGGGTAGGGGGGTCCCGCCGGCGAGGGGCTGCCTGCGCCCCGCAGGGGGGAGAGGGGCCGTTTGCTCACAGCTTGCCGAGCCGGGCAGGCAGTGAACCAGTGCCGGTGCTGGTGCCAGTGCCAGGGAGCACGTCCACCACTGCCACGGTCCCAGCAGTGACAGGTCTTGGCACACATGAGGCCAGCCCTGGTGGGACCCACCGGCCCAGGAGCCACCTCACAAGCTCCAGTCCCACAGCCATGGGGCATAGTGGTATGTGATGCCAATCCATCCCGTTCCTCCCAGATCCCTCCACCGGCCAACTCACTCTGTGGTTTGCAATGTGTCCGCTGTGTCCCATGGCTGCCATCCCAGCCCCCGGCAAGACCCCAGGCTGTCTCTTTTTGCCTCATTACCTGCACATTTTGCCCAGCATCCCCCTTCGGCTGCAGGGCTGCCAGCCATATGGGGACTGCAGCTGGCATGGACCTTGGCCACCGCCAGACCCTGGGGCCACATCCCTGCTGGCCCCGGCACCATGCGCCGGGAGCCAAGTCCTGCCCTCCATTGGCCTTTGCCACTTGACCTGCCATGCCCGGAGCACCTCTGAGATGACAACCTCCGCTCAGCTGCGGGCCAGGGAGGATGCAGGCAGGAAGCCTCCTGCCTGTTCTGCTCAGCTGGCCACCCCCCTGCCTGCTCTCGGGGGTGCCGGGATCAGGGCCAGGGGGACAAAGGCAGAGTGGGACTGCAGAGACCTCCCCGGTGAGGAGGAGCAAGGGGTGGCCATCACCTGCAGTAGCGGGTGCTCAGGAAGGACCAGGAGCTGACTACATGCTGAGGGGCACCCCCAGACCTCCCCAGGATGCCTGTGGCTCCCACTGCTCCCAGCTCACCTCTCCGCTCACAGGAAAAGACTCTGTGTTTCCACTGCCGGCACACACCTTCCTTCTGAGCAGGAGGAAATGCTCCTGACTGCCTGGCAGGGCTG